GAACAGGATGAGGTTCTATCACAATATCTTTATGTCAACAGTAATTAACACACATTTTATGTGGCTCATGTGTCACATTAAAGCAGCAAATAATACGGTGACATTTTCTCTAAGGTGGACTAAGAAAAGCTATAAGCTTGCCTTTCTCTTTCTTACCAACCAAGGTAGTTAAACTGACAAAGATTTAGGAAGAAGCCACATGGATGATTAAAGGTACAGAATGACCCCCATAAAAGTATGTTAGGAGTCTTTGGAAGAAGTCACTTAAAGGAGGAAGTGATAGAGATCCATAAAATGAAGACTGTACTTGATGGAGTGGGCAGGAATCAATTGTTCAGGCCCCTCAGATGAGAGCCAGAAGGCATGACATTAAGCCAGTCAGGGGCACATTAATAATCAACAAAAAGAGACAATTCTTCACCTGACAAGTTTCAGAAGTCCTTGTTACTGGATGATCTACATGTTAAAATTATCAATGAGTTAAAAGGGAGCCCGGACAAATTCATATATAAGAAATCCACTGTTGGTAAGTAAGGGTGCAGAATTCATATTCAGCCTAGAAATTAAAACCTAAGTCCTGGGGAAATCCCATCTATACTTGGCCTCTGGTCCATACTAAGAGCTCGCTTTCAGGTCAAGGTACAAGACTAGATGTGGCATTGGTTTGACCCACAAAGGCTGCTTTTATCTTAATATACTTTATATTTTTATTCTGACTCAAGTCTTTTAACGAATTCTGTTTAGTGACAATCATGGGCACGGCTCTCATGTACTGTTCACAAATGATAACCTGGTCTAGTTAGTCCTGTTGGAACAACTTCCTGGAACAATAATACAGAAATTCAGAGGGCAGTAGCATATGTGGATCTCAGAATAGTTGAGGTAAGGAAATTTTCAATTCATCCGATTAAGTAATTCTTTTTCTAGAGTAATAATGCTACTATTCAAACCCATTTTAACTTGGATTTTAGTATCTTTTTGTTCCACTTTTCATTACCATCATATTATGAATAGTTTTTAAATCCACCCTGAAATGGTTTCCCAGAGACCATATTCTTTAGAGAAATATGCCACAATACTGGAAATAGGGAGGTTTTTGAATTCTCTTTTCAGCTTTGTGACTGATTCACATGACTTTGAACAAATTATATAAATATCTGTGCTGTCTCTAAATTGAAGATAACAGCAGGCTTATAGGAATGCTTTTAAAGTAAACTATGTGAAATTCTGTGAAGACATTATGATGTCTTCATCATGACATTTATGATGATCATAAATTATGATTTACTAGTGTTTTTGAAATACTGCTTTAGGGATGGAAAAGCACGCTAATGAGCCTTGGGTGAGTAGAACTAGCTGTGTTTTGTGGCTGGCTCAAAGTGATCTCTCCTGTGAATCAGAATAGGTGGGATGCAAGTGGAGTCTACGTGCAGATGGGTTTATTCTTTCTGTGTATTTCTCGTGGTTCTTCACGAGGAGCAAATAGCTGCTTTCACCTCGTTCAGGGAGAAAGCCTGTCCTAGGACTCCTGCAGAACTTCCTAGGGACAACACTGTTTATTTTATATGCACAACAGTTGCACTTTGAAGCCCCCGAGGAGTGTCTGGCCCCCTCTGACCTCCCTACCTGCCAGGTGATGCTGTGGTGTAGCCTGGGGTGCAGTCCCCCGAAATGTGGCCGTGAGAATGCTCTGAGTTACTTCTCTGCAAGAACTGCAGTGCATCCAGGAGGAAGGTGTTACATGCCTAGGTGTTGCTCAGACATACATTTGAGATGTTGCCAAACTGTGCAGTGAACTCTGGGATCTGAGAAGCTCTGTGTTTTAACAGGTCAGACATACACTGCAGAGATATAAATAACATTTATACAGATGATGCAAACGGTCCTTCCCCTAAAGAGCTTCTGAGTGTCTAAAGTTGAATGGAAACAAGGCATTGCTCTGAGATAGGCAAAAGTTATTTCCTTTTATTACGTGGTTCTCACAGATTTTTTTCCTTAGAGAGATTTTCTTAGAGAAGCCTAAACTCTAAGAACTTGGGTAGTAAAATGTGGGTTTTTTCAGTTTCTAGTAATGAAGTCACACATATTTACAGCATTATCATCTAAGAATTCCAAGTAGCAATTACTAATTACAAAGAGGGGGAAGATACTCCTTATTTTACCGAGGAAATGAAGCCATGATGAATTAAAGAGACTTTCTCTGAATCACAAGAAACTTAATGTCACGCTAGAAGTTGAGCCCAGACCTCCTGACATTCAGTTCACTGTTTCAGTCATATGACCATCCTTTTCCAAGTACCAAATATGTACACAAGGCTCTTCAGTTTAGTCTTCACATTAGTTTCCAATGAAACTTTGCCCTTTCACTCATTTTAGCAAAAAAGGCAAACATTTGCCCATTTGTCTCAACAGTGAGTAGAAACTGCTCTCTATACAGATGATTTCCTCTCCATTCACATGCTTCTCATCCCCCTATTAGAAGGCCAGCCTGTGTCAGCAAGGGCCTGTTTAAATTAGAAACCAAATAATATTTCAGGGATGCCTTGGGCTGTCTTGTGGAGAGGGTTCTTCGCAACCCTTGCCAGTTACTACTTGGTGGTCCTGCCAATCCTTGCTCAGTTTCAAAACAGAAGTTGCTCAAGCTGGGGCAGCCGCTGCGAGCCCGGCACAGGCAGTGGGACAGCTGGTGAGCCCGGCTTAACCGGGCACAGTTCGCCAGTGCAGGGACAGGGGAGTGGCACTGTCCTAATTGTTAACATTCCTCCTCTGCAAGACTTCTCCTGATATTTATTTAATAAGCCCGGGCTCATAATGTCTAAACAATTTAAGCAATCAAGTGGTAGCTGATGTGTATATGGAGATAGAGATGCAGCCAGACTAAGTGAAGGGTGAAATGCTTAATTTCTGACTTTGCAAAGCTTTATCTGGCAGTTGCAGATGAGGTAATACCTCAGGCAGCTGTGCCCAAGAGTGGATACATTGTGAGTAGCCCAGGACTTCAGGCCAGGTTTGCACAGCCACAGCTCCTGTTTAAGTGTCCATGACCTGTTAGCTGGCATGGTCTCCTTGGCCAGTGAGAAATACTGAACTCCAGTCTGGTATCTCCAGTCAGAGGCAACAAAAATTAGGGATGTGGTATTGCTGTGTTCTCAGAGGGAGGAAGGGCAGGTTCAGCAGATCTGGCTGAAACAAGCAGCCATTCCCACATCCCAGCAACGTTTGTAAATAGGCATGCCCTCTCGTGTGGAAAGGAGACTGCTGTGTGTGGAGGTTTGGTTTTTCTGCGGAGCTGTTGTTGAGTATTTTAGCATTAAATGGGAAAAAAGCATCACTACATTCATTAGCATTTCATTCAGAATCATTTCCAACTTACAGTGGAGCAGGGACATGTGGTGACTGGATGTTAACCTTTCATCCATGGGATGAAGAGGTCTGAGGTTCAAAGTGGAAATGAGACTTCTTGGAGTGGATGTGGGACTAGGAAGGAAAAACGAATTTTGATGAGCCTGGGAGATGGCTTTTGTTAAAAAGAAAGAGCACCAAAATGCACAATGTTTCAATACTTTCTCAAGAAAAATTTTATCTCTAGAAAGAAAAACATAATCTCTACTTCAGCTCAGCTTTAAAAGGAAAGGCGGTGCAGAAAAGGAGAGTATTTTTAATGATTACACTTTCAGTGTTCTCTCATTAATGGTCTTTTTCTAGTAAGAAGTCATTTACCGTGTTGGATTCAAAGAGATCCACTTTGCATAGTTTTAGAGTAACTTTGTTAATGTTCTTTGATACCTTCTGCTTATCAGCCCAAGGCTTATTGGCCATAACTGCATAGTGAGCTGAATAAATTGGTTGTTACTGCATTTGCAAGGAGTTCAGCCTGATTACATTCATCTAAGCACCAATTTTACAGCTTTGTGGTGCCACTACAGACCTTGAGCGAGCGAGCAGGCAGGCACCCTGCACATACCTCTCTCTCAGCATGGTGATTTACTGCCTCTATCTGCTGCCTTTTACAGCTGTGTGCTGGCTAATGTCCCTGTCTTGCTGCTTAGCTTGATTCAGCCCTGTAATGCTACATCCTTAGTGTGGAATCTGACTCTGACTTTGCCAACAGGCTGGAAAACGGCTTTTCTTAAGTTCTTTTCCCATCTTCCCTGTGGTCACCTTGTGCTTAGAAAAACAAACCAGTCAGGGTCATAATAGGTGGACAGGCATACTTGCCTTTTGGCCCACTTCTTTTTGGCTGGTCTGTGTTCTTTGACCATTCTCCAAGGGGTCTCCTGGGTTTTCTTTTGACTTGGCCCGATAGCTGAAAGCTTTACTGTAAATTATTGTTTTTGACAGTTATGACAGTGATATTCCACCCTCCCACAGTATCCTCTGACCTGCAAGTATCAGAATGCACAAAGATATGCCCAAAATGTCACAAAAGAATGCACATCACATATAGCTATGAATTAGTTCAGATAAACAACGTAAGCAGAGTACAGTATCTCAAGGAGAAATGACAGGCACCACTGATTAGAATATTTACAGGGAGAAAAGGTTTCTGAGTATTTCTGACTGTGGAATCAGTGCATTAAAATAGCATAGAGTAACAACTTGCCATTTTTCTGTAAACTACTCAGATGCACATGTAGTGGATTCAACTAATTAACAGAATACTGGCTATTGAGATGGAAGGGTTTGAAGTGAAGGAAGGTGGGAGGAGGACAGCTACAAGAGTTAAGCATCTAAACAAGGATACTCTTAAAAAAGCACCTGGCTATGGTAGGTCTTGTGGAGACTGAATAGTCGATTCTCTTTTGCTACAGAATAAAAGGGAAGAGTGGCCATGTGGCATCCTGGTTGATACGAGCTTACACGACTTGATGTGTGAGAGACAGTGGTTTCAGAACTCTGTCCTTATTTCCTTTGTTTTCTCACTGGTTCATATGATGTAAACAGAATAAAAGTACCATCCTTAACCCTGGCTGAAGGTTCACATGTTAATATTTTTTCAGGTGGAACTGGCAGAAATTTGCACAAAGAGCGAGCGTTACATTGGCACAGAAGGTGGAGGGATGGACCAGGCGATCTCTTTTCTGGCAGAAGAAGGAACTGTATGTGGATCTTTGTCATCTAAACTAACACTGCCATACTAATTTATGGAAACAAAAAATACCTTCAGAGCTGTCTAGCAGAAAGACAAGATGAGAAACTGGAGTACCTTAGTAAGCAGTATAAGCACCACTGGTGTACAAATGAAATGGGAATTAAATGTATACACTTGTGTACAATTGAGTATGACAAGTTTGAATAAGATGGGGAAAATGGGAAATGGCAAGGAGGAAGGAAAAGATGTGGGAAAAGATGTACTCTAGCAGAGCACCAGGTTCCACACTATTTGGCCAATTCATCGCTGAACTCAGAATGTTTCCCATATAATGAAGTCTGAATGGTCAGCATGCCTTGTATTCAGTGAAAATGGGATAATTATTACAAAAATGCTTTCTTGAAAATTCTCATAACCAAACAGTTCTAGGATGTTTTGCCAGGTTCAGTTACAAAGACAATGGAGACTTTTTTTCACTAGTTTTGCTAATTCCAGACAATTCTGTGGCTGGAATCTGATGCAGAAGGCATTTAGCTGCCTTAAACGTGGTGACAGAAGGTGGACTAGCTATGATAAACAGGACCTGCCAAGTTATGCATGAGTGCTTGCAGTGGAATTTACAGGAGTTCATCCCTGTCCCAGAAAATGCACAGGACTGTGACTGTTTCAACCTCAAACCTGTCAAAACACTTTTATTGAAATTGATGCAGCATTTCACAAAAACCTTTACTTTCCTTATGATTATGGTATTGTATCCCTACAGCTTTTGTTCCTTAGTGCCATATCTTGGATGAGCTTACACAGAAAAAGAGATTTCCTAGAATTACACCAAACACTTAATGCCATCATGAGACACATGTATTGTCAATTTCACATCACCTGCACCTGCTCTGCACCTTCCCTTCATGTTTGTACTGTTAGCAGTAAAAACACAGCTACATGAATAATGAGATATTGTTGGCGTGCACACAGATGATCGTGTAAGTGGAAGCTTTTCTAATATGTAGAGGTGGTGATCAAAAAGACAAAGAAAATGTTAGAAAATATTAGAAAAGAAATTGTGAACAAACCAGAAAATATCCTTGCTTCAGTCTACTTGCAGCTGAATGCAGTCCTGGCCTCCCATCTTAAAAAAATACACTAGAACGAGAAAAGTACAGTAAAGGACACCGAGGTTGATCAAAGCTGTTGTTTTTTTATAAGAGCATTGACTGAATAATTTAAAGCTTTTCAGCCTGGAAAACAAGAAGCTTAGAGGGTGATACTTTGAAGCTTTGTAAAACCCCTAAATGAGTAAAGAGAAGGTAAATGGAGAATTCAATGCAATTTTTTTCATAACTGAAGAACTAATAGAAACACAATGACATTAGCAAGCAGCTTGTTAAAAACAAACAAGGAAGTTTGGGTTTTTTTCCAAAACATTCATTGTTAAATTGAGAAATACCGTACATTGTAGAAGGCAGAAGTTTTAAAAGGGTTCCAAAAAGACCTTCTTGGATACACTATTAGAGTATTAGCCTATTTGTAGCTATTAAACATAATAGTTGGATGTTTCTTCCAGGGTAAACATACCCACTGCAGTCTTTGCTTATGGAAAGCTAGAAAAATATACTCCCCCTCAAAAAAAGATTGCTTTGTGTATATCCTAGTTTTTATTCCCCCTAAACAGCCATTTATGACTACTGTTGGAATCAGGACACCAGACCAGCTCAGGGGTAGGTTCTGATCTAAGGCAGCAGTTCTTAAAGGGTATACTGAAATGTAAGCAAGTCTGTCTGTCTTGATGGTGACTCTGTGGCGTGGGGCAGAGTCTCAGTGGCAGGGAGTCACACACATGCTGTACATAATGTACAAGCAGATTTGTCATTGTTTATTTAGCACTCGAGTGGCTCAGGGAACTCTCTGGGGGTGAGCGGTGCCAAAGCCAGTGAGACGGCCCTGCTCGCAGAGTCAGTCTATTCGAAGAAGCCAAAGCAGGGCACATGATTTACAACTTATCCCAATGAAAAACCAGATGTGAATTTAATCTCTTGATTACATTACATCCTGAATTATTTAATTAACGGATGCCTAGCTTATTCCATGAAAAGGTCACAAATGTTGGGAACATCTTACGCAGCCTGTGTAAGCATCTGTGAGGCAAGGCAGTCTCTTATGTCAGAAAGGAGACAGTAACTACATTTTTATATGTAGTTTTAACTTCTCTGGTTGTCCAGATGTGCCATGATCAGTGTCTCCAGTCCTAAAATGTTGGTACTCTCCTGTACCTCAGTGAACTAATCTTGATGTAGTGGAAAATCCGAAGAGTGAGGAGGAGACGGACATTGATGAAGGGGCAGGGAATGCGAAGCCCCTTGTTTTAGTAGCAGGCACATTAGCTTCAGCCAGGCCTGCTACTTTTCTGTAGATCAAAGAAAAACTGTTGTTTAAACAGGCAAGAAAAATAGGTTGGGTGGGGTTCTGTGAAACCCTGAAAAAACCCAAAGACTTAATGGAAACATTTTAACATCCAGCTACAGGGAAAGGTTTGAAATGTATGTGTAACTTGACCAATGAGGTTAAACCTCTTTTCTCACTGTTTCATGTCAGCTTTCTTTCCTTAACTGTCTCTGGATTTTCAAGAGAAAAAACATGCAAATTTGCATTTGATTTATAGAACTAAGTGCTCTGTTAGCTAGTAGTAAATTAAAACTAACCATTCATTTTTCTTTCAATAGGCCAAGTTGATAGAGTTCAATCCACTGAAGGCAACTGATGTTAGACTTCCAAGTGGAGCAGCGTTTGTTATTGCAAACAGTTGTGTTGAAATGAATAAAGCAGCAACTTCTCATTTCAATATTAGGGTAATGGAGTGTCGGCTGGCTACAAAGGTAGGGCATGGCTTATGTCAAACTCTAATGAAACCTTCATCTAAATATGTGCTTTTTTCCACTGCTGACCAGTTATGTCTTTAACACCTGGCTAGGTGCTACTTTAAGTATAATTTTTCTTTCCAGAACCAGACACCTCCATCTGCTCCATCTGCAGGACCAGAACTCCTGCTGAGCTTAATGGAAGTGCAAGGATCATGTCCTTATATAGAAGATTATGTGATTTAGTTCTATTAAATTTATTTTGTGTTATATTTCAGTAGAGGAAGTAAGTCTATTTTTCAGAAAAAAATATTCTCACTTAATAAGATAGACTGTTTCTAATTAAAGTTGAATAATGACAAATAATGGAAAACAACCAGTATGGTCACATGTTTATATGTATATATGGCAATAGATGTGTATTTTCTAGGATTTAGAGAACATCAAAGCTACTAGTTGGAGGCCTGGAAGTAATACTGGAAATGCTGAATAGCAGCATGTATGTCAATATAAAGTTAAAAAACCAGGCTTGAATCAAACCCCAACATTTATGCTGTACTGCCAGTTTACAGCTTGAAATTATCTCTAAAATGTATGGAAATTGAACAGGAAAAAATCTAAATTCTGCTTCAATTCTGGATTTTGTATGTTCAGGAATATGTAGATGTAGGGTATGATTTGAGGTTTTTATGGGAAGACAGTGCATTTTTCTTTGATTAGAGTAAATGAGGAGTAAGCATAAAGATCCACTGCAGTTATTCCCAGCATGATGTGCTGTGTGAAAGAACAGAATTTGGGTCACAAAGTCTAGAAGAAAGTTTTGAAAACTAGCGTGGAATTCCTTGCCACAAAACATTTGGCCAATATCTGATGAATATTCAGGAATACTTTGAACATCTGTTGGCATCATGATTCTATAAATCAGTAATTTCTTTTATGTTTTAGTGCTAAAAAAAAAGAGATGATCAGATACTGACAAAATATAATACAAAATAATGGGTTGAGATATTTTTTGAGGAGGGAAGCTAAACCTCAGATAAGTTTTTCAATGGGCTATAAACTCAAATATTAAAAAAATAGCTGCATTTCAGTTGTATATAAGATGGGGTAAAACTAATAGCACCAATAACCATAGTTAAAGCTGTTGTCACTGAAGTTAATAAAAAGATTCTTATGCCTCTGAGAAAAAAAATAGAAGGACCTGTCTATATGATAGTTCTGGTATAACTGATAGACCTCTAGTTTAGGATAGCTACTTGACTAAATATGTATTTTTTAGGAAGAGCTTCTTTTGGAAAGTCATTTTTTTGCATAAGAAATAAGAACCTTCAAAGATGATCTATTCTAAAAGGCAAAGTGCAACAACGAGTGCATTAAGCTGTAGGAGCTTTTGAGGTACTGTTCCATATACCAGATTTTGTGAACTGAATCACAGCTTTCTAAAGTGCTTTAAATTATTAGTCCTGTGCAGTAAATGAAAAAGGTAGTAAGGAAAGATCATTTTTTTATACATTCCTGTTAGCTGTGATGTAATCTCTAAAAAGGTACTTTTAGCAGATGCCTGATTGTAAGGAGACTAAAAACATACACCTGTCTGTTTTTAAACATATGCTACCCAGATGGAAAGTTGCACACACTATAAAAATACATTGAGCCAGGAAAAGACTGTCTTTAGGAAGAGGTCACAGCGGGGTGAAGGAGGGCAGGTATGTAAGTGGAAACAGGGAAGTCTTTTAAGCACCATTAAGCTAATGGAACTATGAAATAACATGCTGGGCCTTACAATAATGCTTTAAAAGAAATTCTCATTGTAAGTGCCTTAGGATAGGCTTTTTTTCCCCCTTTCTGCTTTAGGTAATTCTAAAATTTCCTACTGCTTGCAGAAAGCTCTGTGCAAGTAAAGATGGCAACACAACATATCCCTGCTGGCATTAATGGAGAACATTTTGATATCAGTCTGTCCTGTAGCAAATGAGCTCTTGATCATAATCACAAAATTACCTTTCTTAGATTCTGTTCCTCTCCCTTCCCTTCTGGAGGGTCATTCTTTTGCTCAGTTCTTTTTTTTCCCCCCTTTCTCTATTCTTGTATCAGCTTCTGAGTGCTTTCCTGCAATCTATTAGTGTGTTTAAAGACACTTATGTTCTGCAGAGCACTCACAGTTCCAAAGGAAATGAACTTGTACCTCGTCCTTGGGAAGCCTCACCCGGTGGGTGCTGCAGGAGCGTCGGGAGCGCCGCGCTCTGCCCGCTCGCCCTGTGTGGTTCCCTGCACTGCCAGCTGGAGCCTGTGCCAAGAATGTCTGCAATGCCATAGAGTTCACCAACCAATGTTTGTTAAATGGGGAAGGATGCTCAGATGGCATTGTAGAATGTAATGTGTTAGAAAGTGATGTTGTTACAGAAGTATTCCTGGACTTATTCCTAGTCAGACTTTCTTTTATTTATATTTGTCCCATCGTTTACCAAGTATGTTTTCCTCTCTATTACTTGCAATGCTCCAGTGTGCCTGTTGAACAAGAAAGGACAATAAAGCCCACAGATGCTGTATCCTGGCAATTAAGAGCCAGCTGCATGATGTCCACATCTTTAATCCATCTAGTCAGAGATCATGAAGAAAATATCCAACTATGGAAGCAGTATTGGGATTACTTCTGTGCATTAAAGAGATGGGATTTTTTTCCCCCATTTCTCTTCTGTGTCCATTACAGTGTGAGCTGCTGCAGCCAGACTGTTTTCAAACACCATTCCTGCTTGCCCATAACATTTTTCCCAGGGCTGTTAGAACAGAAGCTTTGCTGGGATCAGGACAGATCTTTCCAGCAAAGCCGTGCCCGCTGGCCCAACAGGGTCAAGTTTCCATTTGGAACATTTGACCTGTAAAACCCCAGCCTAGTTGGCTCACCTGAAATACAGCAGTTCCCTTGAAGTACAGAAATGGGAACAGATGTGACAATGCATGTGGTAATATTTCTGCAGGGGATTATTTATTCAAAAAGGAAGTAGGAAAATTTTCGTTGCCTTATAGAACATTATTGTTTATAAATTCCTAGTTCTGTTTAACTGCTGGTAGTAAAGTCTAGGGGATGCTGAATATTAGGATTAAAGCACAAGGAAAAACATTTCCATTCATTTAGCACCTTGAAGCAAATCTAAAAACATGTCACAAACGTGCACCACCATACAAGATATTCAAGTATTTAAGTAAAATGAAGCAATAATTGTTATTCTAACTTACCAGTAAGTAAGCTAAAATAAAGTTACATAAAGGCTGTGGAGTTCTAGGTACTCAGAGCCTTTGAAAAGGAGACAGGAAGTGACTTAATCATTCTTTTACAAGAAAATTTTCTCTCCCTGATTTCTGCATTAGGCACTAAACAGTTCTGCTTCTTTCCCTACCACTGAACATAGAAAATTATGTTTTAAATGGCGACAGAGTTATATGATTAGGATTTTGATTGGATTTTGTTTGTTCTGCTCTGCTGAGCCTCACATAAATCTCAGCAAGTCACTAGATGGCACCAAAAGTAGTTAATTTTTAGATACTGTAATAAAGCAAAACTGGAAGAGCCCCTGCAAAGGCACAGGCACTGTTGGAGAAGAGCGAGAATCTACACCAGATAGTTGGGCAGTGAATCTTCTGCTTATATTTCATTCTGTAACTTTGCACAAAACAAAGCAAATACGTTTCAGACATTATGGAAATCCCATGCCTTTTTTAACTAGGAAGTTAAATGGCTTTGCTGAATCAAGACATTTCAAACCGATCTTGCTCAAAACCAGCGCTTATTGAAAAGAGTAACAAAACATTCTGGGTGAAATCTGGCCCTGTTGATGAGAGGTTTGAACCCTGATTTGTATAGAAAATCCCTGATCTTGGTGCACTGGTTTAAAGTCTTTGCAAACATACAGCCTGATCTGGCATACTTGGAAATTTTAATCTCAGTTTAAATGGTGCAGAAGTGGAGATGAGCGATGTGCCTTAGGAACGCAGCAGAACAGTGGAGTGTCCCTGCTAATCTGTGTCTGACTTTGTAGCAATCTGTTGAAATTAAAGCTGATATGTCAGTAGGATCCCACAGTGACCACTTAATATTCTTCCATAATTAATAACATCAAAAATATTCCCCTTTGGTAGGAAAGCTGCTTTGCTCAACCATTTTCATTGGGCACGTGAGAGCATCAACACATACAACAACCTTCCAGGGAAAAGCCTGTTTGGCATATTGCCTGTCAGGATTCTGGGGTTGAAGTAACTACTGTCAATTGCTAAAACATCACAGAGAGACACAGAGCATGATATCATTGCCAACAACGAGGAAAGCAGATGCATCTCTAACTAATTAACCTCACAGCAACCACGCAGGAATGGAACAGATTCTGACCAACACATCGTAATGTTCCTGTAGAGGCTCAGAAGTCCCTTTAAATTGGATATTAAAAGAAGGTACTTAAAATGTACCTTAAACTCTAGAGATTGAGAAAGGTTACAGTTATTCTCCAAACAAATCTTATGATCACTTGAACATTTTTAAGGCTATTACAAGCAAGGGTTTTATTGACAATCTCAATGTTCATCAGAAAATTTCAGGAGCGTATTGGAAAGGTCAAACTGAGATTTAAACGTTAGAGCAAATACTAATGGTACAGAAATAGACTTTTTAAGGACTGGTAGTGTTACAATATCACAGCATTTTTACAAGCAGTTGTCCAGACGGGATTGTAAAAGGTAAGTAAGTGCTTGAAGTAACAAAGCTCATGGAAAAGGATAAATCATTTATTTGATTCCACACAAATAATGCCAGTAGGATTTCTACAGACAGTATCTGATTTGAGGGAAGAATAGCTGTCATCAACAGACCTTTTATAAATAAATATGATTGTCTGCTGCATACTGGTAGAAAGTTTCTGATGGTTCCCAGTTAAGAAGTGAGAGGAGAAAATGGGCCCTAAAGGTATTTACAGATAATTAACTTTTTGAAACAGGAAAGTACAATATTTTCTGATGTGTTCTTTTTTTTTTTTTTTTAATTTCAGCTTCTCTCAAAGTCAAAAGGCTTGGACTGGAAAAAAATGTTGAAGCTCCATGATGTGCAGACCGAGCTAGGAGTTAGCCTAGAGGAAATGCTGACCATTGTGGAGGAGGTATTACATCCTGAGCCTTACAGCAGAGAGGAAATTTGTAAATGCCTGGGAATTAGCCTGGAGGAGCTCTGCTCTCAGATCCTTAGTCAAAACATTCAAGATGGTAAGCATATATGAAATGGTGGGGTTTACTGTACAATGTTTGTATTATATAAAAAGGTTATGCATTAATAAGTAGTGCAGGTGGAAGTCTTGCCAGAACACTCACCTGGAATCTTGGTTAGCAACTGAAAGAATTGGTATCATCATCAACTGATAATTTCATTCCAATTTGAGACTTTGAAAAAATAGAGCAAAACTTTAATTTTGATTGAACTGTTTCTAAACTGATGGGAATAGCAGATCACTTGGTATTTTAGATTAGCCTGTGCTGTTTGAGTCATTTCTAAATAACTCAGGTTTTTTTCTAGGGAAAAGTCTAAACTAGGCTTCCTTTTTAGACACTAAGTACAACAAAACTGAACATTTTGGATAACTACAGAGTCATTAAAATGAATCCTGTTTGCTCTCACTTAACTGGTGTTAAAAGACCAGCAGAGATGGGCTTGTGTTTCTGTTTTTGAACTGATAAATTCCTGGTCACTTCCTAAAACATGCGCTGGGCAGCAAATCCTCTGAGTATCTCCTGAGAAGTTTCTGTCACTATCAGTATTTCTTTTTCTTTTAGGAAAATGTTGGTGGAGGTGAACAATTTACTCTTTAAAGTATTTCCCTTGTGTTATTGTTTATGATTATACCATACAGTCATGAGCATTGTCACACATGGGATGGATCCTGGAAGGGTTGCTAATAATAATGAATAATAGAGAATTTACGAAATAGTTCATTTGCATTTATAACAGGTTTACAATTGAGATCAGAACCTTTCTTGAAGAACTACATAGAATCCTTTTTCCTTGTTTCCATTCTGTAGCCTTAATAGCTCTATTTTTTTGTAGCTGACTTATATCCTTGCCAGTCCTTGCCAAGACTGCTTTCAGGAATGCATACATTTGATGTACATAAATCCATAATACAGCTATCTGTGCTGACAATTACATTTAAATAGTTAATCTATCTGGAGTGATTGCAAGTTTTATATATTGACCAAGGACCAGGCCCTGAATCTATAACCTGTTTTGCACCCCAGTGCTATCAGACAGTATGAAACTCTTACTGTCTGATTACACTGCCAGAGGGTACCAGGATGGACTGGGATATCCTAATCCAGCTCTTTATCTCCATAGCAAGTTTGGATAGCTCTGTGCTCTGCACAGAGGAATATACTGAACCACTACCTGCACTCTGCAGCATTTTCATGGGAAACTCCAAGGTTGTAAATCTTACACTGTCCCTGTACTCTCCCCTTCACGAAGCAATACAAGACTATTAACTTACAGATGTTTATACTCCTTATACCTGCTTTGTACAACAAAATTCTACAGTTCTGTAGAATTGCGTTGTTTATACAGGTTATCTTGATTTTTTTTTTTTTCCAAGCAACAAAGTCTGGATACAAAATTCAGACATAAAAGCTATAGAAGAAACTCAAAGGAAATTTTATACTGTAGCTCTGAATACCATTTGCAGATGTTTGCTGAGCAGAATCTCTTAAACTTGCATGACCGTGATTTCAGTTGATAAGACCAATTAAAAAGGGCTACGCTGAAAGCGTCTTTGCATGTACAACATAAAATTAAATAACAGATTTCTGTAAAACATATGCAAAGAAGAAACAAGACAGACACAGACAGAAAGAATCTAAATCCAGAGTGTGTTTTTTTTACCCACTACGCATATTATGTGTTACATTGGCTTTGGAAAAGCACAGGCTGTTTGATTAAAATACTTTTCTTATTTCCCCTCTGCTTTCCCACTCTTATTTTAATGACAGTGCCTGGCTTGTTCATGTGAGAGAAAACATTCAGTCAAATAAGTAACCTCTTCAGAGAATTTCAGTGTTGTTGAACTTCTTTGTGAAACGTGAAGAACAAACCATAACATTTAGGATATCTTTCTTTCTTTGTACACGTTTTATCAACTTTTTTGATACAATATTGTAATGTTAAGGGTAAATTACTTACATGCAAGTTTCTATTTACATAATTTATCGCATTCTGAGTTTTTTCTGTGGCTGAATAGATATTGTCAGTAGTTTTAATTTTTTCTTTTATTCAAAGCCCAGTGATCATTACAAATACTGTTTTGTACTGGCATTGTATCTCATGTTTAAGGAGCTGAAAGTGCTCTATAAGTATTATTTTAGCCTTAAGTCCAGCTTTCCCTCCTCTGCTTCTTCAGTGACAGTAACAAAGTTTTATCAGTATACAAGGATGACCAGATAAAAACTGTGGGTGTCAAAGGAAAATGGTATGGACAGACTTGGGGCAAGTCCCAGGCCAGGTCTGGAAGCACAGAGTAACTCTGCATCCCTTTTACAGGCAAGTACTCCAAGATTTCTGCAGTTCCCCACTGTACACTTGTTCCCCACGTTTGGAGAAGCACAGAGGGTTTATAAAGCCTCTCTAAACTTCTTGCAGTTGTTCCTTGGCCAACTCAAATTCCTGAGTTTAAAACTCCCTTGCAAATGTTTACACATGGTTTGCACTTGTGGCTTCTGAACATCTCTAGAAAAATAATATTTATTACTTTTTAAGGTGCACTGTGCCATAACTTTGGCTTGGACTCGAGTGCTTCACAGAAAATGTAGTGTGTGGTGATTGTGGGACATTAAGTATTTATAAGCTTCACCACAAAAGGATATTTTCCTGTAAAATAGGGTATTCCTTTAACCCTTAAATGTTTTTTTCTTCTTAAATGAGGTATTTTCAAACTAATTTTTCCTTTTCATGTTTAAAATTGCAATCTAATTTTGACATTTAAACCCGGGAATGAAATCACCATTGGAGGAACAGGCATGTGCTGTGTGGATTGGGCTGTTTAACTCCTGTTTGTCCCCTGGAAAGAGAATTTTAAGTCTGTGCTGCAGCTTCAATGAGTGGTGCTTGAATAGCCTTTCATGGGTATTGATGATGATCTCAGTGGAGGAACAGTGTCCACGTTCCCTGCACAGACAGGTGGAGGTGAAGGCGTCTCAGGTGTTCTGTGAGGTGACTCTGTGCATCAGCAGATGTCCTGCATGAACAGAAGTTACCTCCAAACTGCCAGACCTAAGAGCACTTCCCAGCTTAAGGATCCAGGTGCCCACTTCAGCCTTGGCCTGATCCGTATCAGGGAGAAATTTGGGAACATACCATTCCTTCCACGAAAACAGAGAGGTGGCTGCTCCAGGCCGATCCCATACCTGTGGGATGCAGGTCCTTGGGATGTGCCACAGGCGAGGAACAGGCACTGAGTAGTCAACAAGGTTAGTTGCAAAAGCCTTGTTAAAGCCAGCATTCCTCTGGATGAAAAATCACTTCAAACCAGTACTTATCATAATCTTGAAACAGGTGTCTGCTAAATGGGTCACTGAATCCAGTGCTGACTCGTCCCCTGGTTTATTTTCAGAGAGCCAGATTGCAAACAGTTACTTGAGCAGTCCCAGCAGAGTAACTGTTCCCCACTTCAACTAGGGGGTTCACAATCTGGCTCAAATTAAAGCCATCTGGCAGCATTTTCTTATATACATTCTGAGCCAGAAACCTTCACCCTCATCATGTTCAATCAGCAGGATGTCTAACAGAGAAGGGTCCTATTCCACGGGAGGAATGGTGGGAGAAACTGTCCCCTACATGATTGTGCATCGGTGAGTTTTTCCGGTTGTAAATCCCTAACAGTCCCATCAGCCATGTGCAGCTCATTAATCTACACTGAAACGTATCGTAGGGAGCTGCCAAAGCAACTAGAAAAAAAATATATAGCCTGAAGAGGTTGGTCTTTAGCTAAAGGTCAGACAGAATTGTACAGGAAGCCTCTAAAGAAAGGAATCTGCTGAAGCTGAAGTTGTAACAAATAATATGAATTGCTGAGAAGCCACAAGGTAACACGGTTTGGGATTTCGGGGTCTTCTCAGAGCAGCGGGTTCACAGCTGAGCTGCAGTTTCTCTCATTGTGCCTGTTGGTGTATCGGCCGAGCTCAGGAGTCAAATCACACAGAGACACCAGCTGTGGGTGCTAAATCTAACTTTATTTTACAAAATGGAGGGGTTTTATATGCAGATAAGGAAGGTTCTGGAAAAAGGGGATAGGAATATATAAACTTGGACAGGGCATTGGATAGTATTTAAGATTGATGTACTTAATAGGGGGGATACATGCATCTTCAGATAACTACTAATTACTTAATTGGGAAAACTAACTGCCTCTGACTCAACTTTGGCCAATCAGAGAAATCTACTCTCCCCCACAAGAGAGAAAGCTCACAATCTAACAAACAGTCTGTATGTCTGATGCTGTCTGGCCTATGTGGCCAGAAGTCATTTCTTTCCACCTTCTAAACTCTTCATCCTCATCCAGATTACCCCCAACAACAAGGTTTACTTATAAAGAAAAAAAAAAATCCCTGTAGATGGAGTGGACAGGTTTGCAGAGTTTTTGTAAAGCTAAAATTAAAAATATGACTATACAGCTGAAAACGCACAGTAAACATTTCTGTTATATTTAGTTAACCTACAGTTATTTGGGGCTTATAGCCCAGATTTTTGTTTATTTAGATATTTTATATGGGTTTTGGACAAACTTTCATTAATGTTATTCTGCTGGGTCTTAGCAACTTGGAAGGTTCTTGCTGCAGTGTGAGCTTTTAGTGCCCTGAAAAATGGCACTTTTCTTTCAAAGGCATTTGGTGGTTTGGAAGGAAATTGAATCTATCTGGGTGACATGACAGAAATCCTCTGCAAAGGAGCAAAGATGGGGTTCAGAGAACTTGGAAATAAGTTGAAGTGGGAGAAACCAGGTCTTTATTACAGATTGCTGGCTTAGGAAAGTATATTTACGTTTTCAGTTTTATTACCTAATTTTCAGACATTGTAATAGATTTAAGAATCCACATGCTTTTAACAATCTGCTTTTTTGTTCTCCTTGGAGCACCACAGAGGGTGAGACCATATAACCCGGTCCTGTGAAACAGTGCAAGGGTTTCTTTGAGGGCTTCAGCTTTTCCTCTTTCAGAGCACTCCAGCCCTAGCTCAGATATAAACTAAGCAGGAGTGGGCCCTCTGGTTTTGTTTCTTTTAACACTGGCAGAGTATGGCTTAGGAAATCAGTCCTTTTTAATTGTCAGAAAATGTGACCCCATGAAACCCAGATTCCAGTGAGCTTCTTCTAAAATCACAGCCTCCACAGTGCTCTGACACGTCCTATTAATTCACACTTTATGAGGAGCTAATATACAAGCTGTGACGTAGCAAAGAGATTCCAATATAGATGCAATATTTGGAAATACCACATGTGCTCTGCTATCTTCTATTAGATAGAGATGGTTGGTTTGAGTACCCATCCAAACAGAAGACAGAGAAGAGAGTTTCTGTATTATCAGAGGCATTTGGTGTTGAAAGCTCAAAATACATGAATCATTTCGTTACTTTAGAATAAGACTTAGAGAGTACACAGGTGTTTGCTGCCCTGAAGATAATTTTGTCTGAAAAGTACACTGTCAGAGATGAAAAGCAAGCTATAAATTTGGTTTTTTAAAACACAGACATAATTATTTTGAAATAAAATGCTGCCCATAAGTGACCAACGGCCAACGTAAGGATCCCAGCCTTTAACCGCTGCCAGCTGGGTAAATGTCCCCAGAGCAGCCTGCAAAGAACAGCCAGCCACTCTTTCTCACCCTGGAGCTGCCTGGAAGGGCCGTGTTCCCATGGAGAGGGAGCAGTTCCAGGTAGCTCATTGTCCCTGCCCTGGGAGGCTCTCCTGGGAGCCTCCTGTGGAGGACGCGGCGCGGGCCTGGCCGGCCGCCAGGACCCCAGAGCCCAGCCCGGCTGCCAATCCTGACGTGACGAGCACAGCACAAGCCCAGAGATTCCGAAGGTAATCTGGCCAGTGGAGCATTGCTCTACCAAAGGGTGGTCTCCGAATCAATCACAGCCTTTGGCAAGTCTGTTGCCCGACAATTGAAACCAGACATGTTTTCAGTTCATTCTTTGGGTTACTACTGTTCAATGGTGATTTACAAGAGAGTGCGAGCTATGGCAATCTCTCACGCAACTTTAGATATTCCCTAAACGAATGCACATTTAGAAATCTCCTTGCTCTAAAACAATGGCTTATAAGAAAAGAATATTTAAAGAGAAACCATCCTTAAAAATAGGCCAAGCTGCCTTTCTTCAACATTCAGAAATACTGAGGCACCGCTCTGCAAAACATAGCGCAACCAACTCCAGCAGCAATAAAATCGGAAACCAAAATATGCTCTTCCTGTGTGATACTCTCAAGTCCATGTTTCTGGGGGGCACTAAATTTTCTCATTTCTGTCCTAGTTTGAAATGCATTCAGAAGTCTTGTTCAAAACACAAGCAGCACAGGGTTTCTCAGTAGCAGGCTGTATTGAATTACAAAATAAATAGGAGCAGAAGCAATATCAGCAGTAGCAGAAGACTGCTATGTTCAATGTTTCTCTCTCATTTTAGACTACTTGTGTCTTTCTCAGCACTGTATTTTTAGCATTTATAGTTGCGAAATCCTCTGGAGAAATAAAAAAGGGATTATAGAGGTGCTGATGAAGTTTTAGTCTGTAAGGGTTGCAGCCTGGAGTGTACATATGAGAGACTTGATACTGGACATAATTTTATTTCCAGTCTTTCAAGGAAGATTTCTACATAAACTTGCAAATGTAGATTGCTGAAAGCGTCAGAAGTGGTTCCAGAAGTTGGCTGTCTCCACAGAACAGCCAAGTAGGAACTCCATGTGTCTGGGTCAGACAGCAAGTTCTATTTTAAATACAGGGCTTGTCTCTCTTCTCCTTTTACCTCTATTTGAGTGTTTCATCAGCCATTTTTGAAAGTAAGAGAGACCAGGAGCTGAAATGAGGAGAGAAACTTCACTCTAAAGGAGAATTTACATGTAGAAGGAAAATGAGGGATGTTCTGAGGTGCTCTAACAAGGGTGTGCTGTGATGAAGCAGTAGGTGCTCCACACAGAGGTTAAAGTCCACTTATCTAATATTTACCACCCAAACAGCTCAAGCAAACCAATTTAATCATAAATTATGTCATGCATGCTTTTGGTGAACAATACTTCCTTAATAGTAGCCATGGTATTAAAGCAAACAGAACTATATTGGGAGAGGAAAACAATGAACTACAGCACGAGCTTGGGAAAGGCAGATCAATTCTCAGATATTAGTTGCAAACCAAACCCTCCTGTAAATATGAGTGGCTTGCAGAGCCTTCAGCCAAAGCCATCTCCTTCCTTTTTATGCCCCATTTTTTAGGCTTGATGAAGGTCTCTACCCTGATTGCCACTCAGGTTTGGGCATCCCCCAGCCCTTCCCAGAGGACTTGCTTTTCCATGGCCCAACTGAAAAATTTTAGCCAAAATCCTTGCACTAGACTTCGATCTTAGTAGGTCGGTACCAAGCAGTACCTGTCTGGGCTTGGCATCTCATCCACACAGGCAGCACTTAACACTCTGGCAAGTAACACACACCAAAAATAAACCCTGAAAACCAAAGTGAAAACACCTGTGCTCTTCACTGTACCTTTAATCCAGTATTATTTACAGTCAGGATGAGCCCCTATCATTGGGAAGATATTTGAGAGGGCTTTGTTACCTGTGCATCATGAAATAGGGAAAGAGCATTTTTGTTACTGTCAAAAAAAAACAAAAAAAAACGTGGGTTGTGGTTTTTGTGTTTTTCTCTCAAGCAAAGGTCTGTCCACACAGCTCCACAATTGCTGCAGATTTGGCCTGGAGCAGCCACACACCAGGCCCTGGGCCAGCAGGTGCTGCCTGACAGCTGCCTGTAGGGCACAGGGGACCCTCCAGGTGTTCTCCTGCCTCCTTTCTGTTGGTATTTGAAAACCTGAAAGCTTTAGATTAACGCCATAAAGCTGTTGCTGCCAGCCCTTGAATTTGGGCCTTGCTTCTGCAAAGTAAGGGAGAGACTGAGCCTGTTCACTGACACAGCAAATAACCAGAGTATGTGCATGAAGTTATTAACATGGAAAAAATGTCTACGCTGTATTTTGATAAACTCTAACCACTATTTTTATCAGGGCTTTTAAAGAAGATGTGAGATTTTGAAGAAGACTTTTAGCCTAGAAAGTTCTAACACAAAATATGAATTACTAAAAAATACAATTCTTCTGTGTTTTTGTGTGTTCCTTCTGTAGTGAATGGTAATGCAATTTTCCTTTTGTTTAGTCTCCACCTTTAAGTTATACCAGCGTGCAAAGCACGTGTACAGTGAAGCTGCCAGAGTGCTGGAATTTCAGAAGATATGCAGCAAAGCACCTGCCAATGCACTCCAGCTGCTGGGAGAATTAATGAACCAGAGCCATATCAGCTGCAGGGAGATGTATGAATGCAGCTGTCCCGAACTGGATCGGCTGGTCGACATCTGCCTGTAAGTTCTGACCACAAGGAAGAGTAATCCTCTGTTGAGAATAGTGCTTGAATTGATGAGAAAATATGACATAGTTGGCTATTGCAATCTTAAAATGAAAGTATTCTTGTCTCTTATTACAAAATTAATCTCCTGCAGGGACATTACATGGTCAATTGTTTCCCTGCTGACATCTGTGTAATGCTTTCAGATGAAAGCTTCAGTTTATGGCTTTATTACAGATTTTGCTTTTGGACTGACTCATCGTCACAAGTGTTACGTTAGACTGTTGGCTATTCCTTTTTAAGTTGTAGAAGAAGTCATAACTCGTTTTCTTACAACATTATTTTACTTGTTCTATTTGAACTCTTTTACTTCTTCTGTATCTCTTACAGTTATAGCATCATAGAATGGTTTGGGTTGGAAGGGATCTTAAAGATCATCTAGTTCCAACCCCCTTCCACTAGACCCACCCAACCTGGCCTTGAGCACTTTCAGGGATGGGGCATCCACAACTTTCTGCCTCTGCCCCAGCCACCCTGTCCCAGCTGCTTCCTGCATTCCCATCACAGCTCCTGGTGATATTCATATTCTGCTCTTCTGTTATTGTTCCTACTTCTCCTTGGAGAAGGATCTGCTTAGTTTGGGAAGCTCTGCCCTAAGCCAGAGCATTACTGCCCTCCCAGAAGGGAAATGCAGGGTGACATAAGGGTTTGCAGGCCTCATGTCAAGAAATGTTGTTTCACTGTCTTTCAGAAGCAAATATCCCATCCTTTCTCTACATCTTCCAGTTTTGAGGAAAATAAACTGTTTCAAATTGAAGCTAAAAACTCTCTCCCCCTCCCCCCCCAGTTAATACCACCTAAAAATGAAGATTGCAAAAATGTGTCTTTACCAGCAACTGGCCTTTTCTTTTATTAACTATTTAATTAGTCTGGTTTAGAAAGAAAATATGAATTTTAAAAACATGCAATTTACCATATGCTTTTTTACTTCAATACTCGTGGTTTTTTTAAGTTGCAAAACCCATTTACCAGGTTTGTAAATCAGTAGAGTACAATACAGATGATTATTTAGGTTAGTCTAATTTCCTTTGCAGACGTGATGGAATGGCCTCTGAGGCAGAAAGCTACAAACTTAACAATTAAACAGAAGACTTCTGGACATTAAGAGATTATTTTGTATATGGGATACACGTGCTGTTTTGTGATAAAACCCAGAGAAGCCTGATAGCCATTGGACAGACTGACAGTAATTGAGCAGAACAATTCCTGATCCTTCTCTTGGGCCGTGTTCCATTTGTTGTATCACACAGTGATCACATAACACAATAAGCTGTGACAGTCACTCAGCGGGGCAATTCCACCAGGGTTATCCCAGCTGCTCAGAGGGAACTGCTGATCCCTGTGTGAGAAGGGACAACTATCTCCAGAATCAGCTGAAGACAGAAACTGTGCTCAAAAATCTTGGGCAACAAAGTCTTCATCCCATGCAAGGCATCAGCACTGCCTGTTCTGAGACACCTCTGATAGGGGAAGAGCCTTCAAACTTCACATCTGCATTGTTCTGAGGTGCAGTAACTCCCCAGTGCTCACAGCTCAGCAGTGGCACCCCATGACCCCTTTGCAGACCTGCTGAGCCATCTGAAGTGTCCTCACTTGGGTGCCCACCTTGGATCCTTCTGAACGGGCCTGTTCTCAGAACCCCTGGGAGAAGACTGTCCTGCCCCACGCAGGGGAAACCAGGCCAGGCATAACCTGGCAGGACGTGGAGGGCAGGGGTGACCTGGGCTGTGCTGCAGCTGCAGGGCTGGCAGGGACAGCTCAGGGGTCAGTGCCAAGCTCAGCACGGGAACTCTGCTCCCATCTGCGCTGAGCTCTGTGCTTCGGTGGCGAGGCAGCTGCTGCTCCAGCCAGCCTGGGCACGGGGCACTGGCTCGCAGGAGGCAGCTCCCACACAGCCACAAGGCCCAAAGGAAAGGAGCAGTTAGGATTTTTCGAAATTCAATTCAAATTTCAATTCCAGGAAGCAAAATATAAATAGTAAAGGAAAAAAGTGACGCGTGTGCCCTCATTACATCAGATTTCTAACTTACCAGCAGAAGAGCCCACAGCAGTACGATGGGCAGAGCTAAGCACCACACTGGAGCATCATTTGTGTGAAATGATGTCTAACTGCTATATTGAAGTTATTTATTCTGGGTTTTTTTATTACATTCTTTGCACAGAAACAAGTAAATTGTTTGTTCATTATTCTTCAAGAAGAACTGCATCTTTCTTCTCTAGAAGTTTAATATTAAATCTTTTTCTGATTCAGTAATTAGATTTTTCAAAGTGTATAGCTATTCCAGATGAATGCAGCTTAAGCCAGAATCTAATTTTTTGGAAAAAATGTCTTAACTTTTCTCAAGTTGTACATTAAAGAAGCTGAGGGACATAAAATCACTAGTCACTCTAGGAAAACTTGGCTGATGTGATTATAGAAATGGCCAGGAACTACAGAAATTACATTCTTTACTTACGATGATATACAGCTGCCCTGTAGCTTTAAAAAGCTTTTCCAAAAATACATTCCACAGAATTGCCTGAGTCTACTGCTGCTCTCTCCTTACAAGGTTTAAACTGTGAAGAATGATCTGCATATCCAGATGTTTTCTGTTTTGCCTAGATCTTTATGTTTTACTGTACAACCTCTGCCAAGAAAGAAAGGGATCCATACTTGCTGTGGTTTGTAGTGCTGAAAACTGTAACCACTAGCTCGTCAGGTTTTTTTTTGTTTGTTTTGCAAAGACAGAAGACTTGTACTTTTCTCTAACCTACCTCATGCTCTTAATAGCTGTTTTACCTGTTAGTCTTTTAAAGTAGGTAACACAGCAGATTTACCTTAATAAACAATTAAGGGACAAAGAGTTGGATGTGAGCTCATGAACATGTTAGGTCCTCTTGGAAATCTCTCAGTCCTTAGTGTTGCTCATAACTTCCTTTCAGTCTCTTGTTCTCCATCTTTTGTTGCTATAAATCCCAATAATTGGTGTGTTCCCAGCCATGCCCATTACAGCTGAGTCCTCTGGGATCACTTTTAAAGGATGCAGTTTGTACATCACATCCATTATGGTGGCCAAGACAATTCTGCGTTTTATCAAGACTCTTCCCATTACCAAAGCTGATTCTCTTAAAGCTGCAAAGCCTGCAGCCATGGCACAATCTGGAAATTCAACAAAAAGTTTGCAGCCCTTTCACAGAGCCAGAAAGCCTTGAAGATGCTATTCAAGTGCAAACTAAGCTACAAAGCAAAATAAGTATAATCCTCTCCATTTATGTATTTAAATCTCATCACATTAACTCCATGCTTTCTGAAACTAGTTAATAATTTTGAGTATTTCAAATTTTCACTTCTTAACAGCACAACTATTTTTAAAATTAACTACTGCAATGTCTTGCCTATCATTTCCATATATCAAACTATGGGACTTCCATTTTTACTTTTTTTCCTTTATTCATCTCTCCTTTGCTGCAGTACTCATATTTTTATTCTCACACTCCTATAAGATAACTCTCTTTTGATCCAGTGAATACTGGAAAAAGATATATAAACTCTTGAGGAAGCAAAGGCTGAAACCTGGGACTGGGAGCTGAGTGCCCCCAGCACTGGGCTGCAGATACTCCATGACCTCTCCCTGTATTCCTTGTCCTGGTGCTGCAGCACAGCCCAGGCACTGCCCAGGGTAATTCCCACATGTGAAATCCCAGTGCCTGGGAGGGCGCCCCATCCACAGGATTGTCTGCTCAGACTCCTCTTCCAAAGGGCATGATTTGGACGCCAGTGCACCAGCAGAGTGTCTGGCCAGGAATGCCACTGCACCAGAGGGGCTGGCTCAGCACCCCACGGGTTAGGACTCCAACAAGATGGTTTCAGACCTGTCCCAAAGACAGCTCTCTCCTGTTGGATCTAAATACCTACCAGACACCACATCTCTTGCAGAGCACAATTAGGTGCTCACTTGTGAAGTCCTGTAATGTCAGGTACCCAGGTTTCAGATGTTGCAGCACTGCCCATCAAGTTCCTCAGCAGAAAACCCCAAGTGTCTGATCAGATCACCACATTTGACACTGTTAAGCCGCAGTATTTTGAAACACAGTGACTTCAGCTCTGCAACAGGCATATTTTCTGTCTACATTATGCTTTATTTCAACTAAGTATTTTAAAATGACTCAGTAAAAATGAGGCATGAGCATGACCACAGAGAATTACGAAATCAATAAAAGGTTCAGAACAATTCTGAAGGGATTTCAGTTGCCTACCAAAATAAAAGCCAGACACCATCAGAAATGCAAAGTTCTGAGTGAGGTAACAGACCATAATGAGTACAGACAGTTGATTTAGCAGACTCTGAAAAGCGGATTGGGCCTTATGAAGTTGATGGGAATTTCCTTATTGATTGCAACGGAGACTGGATTGGATCCTGCTCGTTTTAGGAGGTTGCTCCATGGACTAGAAACTACTAAATTGCATCAGAGAATGAGTGGCTTACAGGAATAACAATAAGTAAAATAGAACACCAACAGGAAATGCAGAATGAACATAAAATCGAGTCAATATGAAGGGTGGCACCACACAGACACACTGAAGAAAGTGTTTCTGTTCAAGAAGAGATGTGTGTTCAGAATCAAACACATATGTAAGTACTTGCTTGAAATATGACCTAAACCTCGACTAACCCAGCACTACACCAGATTCATTTAACATTAAATGCACACATGAAAAATTACAACAGCTCTGAATGAGCTGTCCTTTCCTGCTCACATGATGCTGCCTCTCCCTCTGACATACTCTGGGGCTGATAAATCTCTCCGTGCGTGGCTGTTGGAAACACATCAAAAGTATTCGTTTGCAAATCAGATTAGATCTCCCACGAGAATAAGATTTCAGATGAGTTTTCTGAATCTGACTGGTTCTATTCTGACTAGGTTAGAAAAGCCCCAAAGACATTTATTACATGGTATTTGCCTACTTTTTCTGAATCTAAGGAAAGATCAGGAACACAGGTAAGCAAACTAATGAAAATAATTCTACTAAATTCTAGTGGGATGGTGTCTGAATCTTGCAGTGTAATGGCATGGGATTTGCTTTAGGACATTTCTAGCAGGCCAGTATCTTGAGGCTGGGAATGGTTTATATTTTGGATGTCATTTATTTGTCATTGTTCTTTCTATTCACCCTCCTCATTAAGAGCATTTTTTTCTTTTGGGACTAAGTTCTTACTTTACCTCTGCTGCTGGCAGTCTCTTAAGTTCATGAGGTTTCCCTAAAGAGAGATACCCAAATCTGTCCATTCAGCATAAACAGATGTTTAGGTGAATTTATTTACACAGAGTGCAGTGACTCTGTATGGCTTTTTGAGTGTTTCTGAACTCTCCTTTTCTTGACTGGCACGCTCAGCGGTCCTGCAGAAGCCTGTGAATCTTCAGCATGTTTTAGATCTGTCCTGGAAGAATAGAGCTATTTGTCTTTGCCACATTAGAAAATGGCTTGCATGCCTACATCCTGTGCAATTAGTTTATGAACCCTCTTTTGTTATTTTTGTCATGTATTTCTGTTTTCACTTCTGATGTCTTATGAATGTTGCTAACACAATTCCTTTCTTCTCCTGCTTTCTTCATCTCAGCTGCACTGTGATCCTTAAAACAGCTGATGCTGAAGCATTACAAAACAGGGTGACTTTTGGAACTGACACAAATCACTATATTGCAGTTTAAAGCGTCAGCACTTTTTTTTTGGACCAAAATGGTAACTGCAAAATTGCTGTAGTGTTGCACACAACCGAGGGAACCTCAGAAAAATCAGATGACATGAATACTCAAAACAAATCTTAGCTTTCTCTATGAAATTTATACACGACAAAGCACCCCTTTTGGGTTGATTTTACATGATTTTTCTTGTGTTATTTTGTTTTAGGCAATTCGGGGCCATCGGGTCACGCCTGACTGGAGCTGGATGGGGTGGCTGCACTGTGTCAATGGTGCCTACTGACAAGCTGAGCACGTTCCTAAAAAATGTCAAAAAAGCTTATTACCAAACGGATGGCCAAAGGTTAGCAGGGGAGAATAACAGTCTGTTTGCTACCAAACCTGGAAGAGGAGCTTTGGTTTTTGTTGAGGCCTAAAGAACGTAAAAATTTTAAAGAAACTATGTGGAGCATTTGGAACTGGCAGTACTTCCCATGCCACAGTAAATGAATGCCTTTTCTGGTTTGTATTGTAACAAGCAGTTGCTATTATCAAAATGTATTTTTGAAGAAGCAATTAAAAGAAAACTCTTTGATTATAAAAGTCTTGCTTTTTTTCCATACTAAGTATATATTTCAGTATAAACATTGATTTACTAAAACTCATTGACGGGGAAAACTGAACTTGAAATAAAGATGATACTTTGTTACAGTGGCTCTCTCTTCTCTTCCCTTTGCTCCATTAAAGAGAGGCTGTGAAGAATGAGCTGTCTCAGTGCAGGGAGGGACCTTGCAGGATTAGCAGGGCTGTTCATGCTTTTTTCTCTTCAGGTGCTGGACATTGTTTTGTTTGGAGTGTTTTGTAAAAAAGAAAGATTAATCTGAAGCATTTAAAAAATTGGAAGGACCTTGCTAAGCATTAGAAGTTTTTATACTCTCCATAAATAGGATAATTACTGTTGTCATTAATACTAATATGGAGGAGCACCTGCAGGCCAAGTCAAACATTATGTTAAGCAGGAAAAGTATATTTGTACAAGATGACTTGGTATGAAAGTTTCAACAACAGTGAATGTTATCTATGAGCTGTACAATGTGACAACCTGCTCCCTGAAGAGCACGAACAAATAATGAAGCAATGGTGGATTTTGAGGAATCCAAATACCATACTCTAGTGGCTGAATGCCAGCTCTGCTTCTACATGGTAGAACATTCACATTTTATGCAAAACTATTAAGAAGGACTAAATATAATCCATTGACTATGTTAAAAAAACAATTAAAATTTATAAGGAACAATTAATGAGAGAATTCACTTAGCTGTACTAAGCAAAAGTAAATAGGTAGGAGCAAGAGAAAATGTCGTTGACATTACTGATAAATTCCAGCCTCACTCCCACTTTACACTCCTCACCATCCCCAGGCTGGAACTGCTCTGACAGGACAGACCCACAATAAGTTGCTTCCTCAGGAGGAGAAATTCCTGTGATTGCAGAAAGGTCCTGTATGTCAGGAGTCCCCAGAGATGTTCTAACCCTGCTTCCAAGGGGAAGCTGAGGTTCCTGTGCCCTCTCTCTTCCACCTCTCTGCTCTCTCCAAAGAAAACCAAAGGCAAGGTTTGGTCTTGTCACAGCCCTTGCAGCCATAAAAGACACACAGCAAGAGCTGGCCCTGTGCACATTTGTGTGATGCTAAGCACAAGTTGATGTCCAGAAGTCTGCATCAAATTAGAGATCCCTCAGAAGAGATTTTCTGTACATTGCCCTTGCTAATTCAGGCCAAACCCAAATTCTCAGAGGCTCCTGATTCTGTGATGGGACTCTGCCAAATCTGAACACAGCAGATGAACAACAGCCAGTGCAAACTACCAGATTTTTCAGGAACCTCAGAGGGAACATGTCATGGTAATGCTATCACTAGAGAAGATTCCTGGTTTCTGACAATTAGGAAAAGTGGAACAGAGTGCTTAGGTCAAGTAAATCAAGCACTCTAAGAGAGGAGAAGGATAGGGACTGGGCACGATGGGGAGAGATGAAAAGAGTGTGTTTGGAGGGAGGACAGTGAAAAGGATGCATTTGAGAAGGGACAATGGAGACAGTTCTGAACAACAGACAGAATCATAGAATGGGTTAAGCTTAAAACATCTGCTATGAAAATGAATCTATGAAAACTGAATAACTTATAACCCATTTGTAATGTACAGCAGATATACTGTATATTCAAATAAACCTGGGAACACATGAGTCCAGAAAGTAAACAAGTAGCTTCAAAAATGTCTTAGATAACCATAGAGATTTTAAAGAAAATAATGCATTTGCTTTGTTACCAACTGCCTTATGAAATATAATCCTCAGCTTAATCCAGTGATTCCTATTTATTATCCCATCATAAAAATGGAGTAGAACACAGTACATACGAGTCCTTTCATTAAGATATTTGATTGAACTTCAGCTGAATTCATGGAAGAGCTGATCAGCTATGAGCAGAATAGAAACTATATTGTTGGGTTTTGTTTTCTTTCTTCCTGATTTGAGCATGACACACAAAGTCATGGAATCTTCCCAAAAACACACAGGATGCAGTACATTTCAAAATTTTTCTGTCAATGAATCTGATAAATTATATTCTCATAAACAAAGAAGAGGGAAACAGAAAACTGGCACAGTATAAAAGAATAAAACCAAATGTTCTAAACTTCTGATAAATTTCTTACTTTTTAATTGCTTCAATGTCTTTCCCAATAAAATTTGGACATAACTTTCATTGAAAGACTTACATTGTTCAAACTATACACATAAGAGGGGCACTCAAATGTTTTTATTTACTGACTATAGGAAGTAAATGTTTCTCTTTAAACAAACAAAAATAATGGATCTGTTTTGGGTGGGGTTTGTTTGCTTTTTAAACTTTAAAGACATGTTTCTACATAATGGTAAAACCACTGATGAAAGCATGAACATGGTAAACAGCAGGGATATCAGTAGAATCTCTACCAATAAAGCAAGAAGATTTTGATGAAAATTTCTGAGCATAAAGCAGCGACTCATACGCATATTTCTTAAGCAAGTCTTCCCAGATCTGCATTTTTAGTATTTTTTTCTGACTTCCTTTCAAAAATCTCTTCTATAGCTAAAATAACACTAATTGGGATATCAAATCACAGACTTGTTCAGGTTAGAAAAGACCTTTAAGATCATCGAGTCCAACCATTAACCCAGCACTGCCAAGTCCACCACAGACCATGTCCCCAAATGCCACATTTGCACGATCTCTTAAGCACCTCCAGGGATGGTGACTCCACCACTTCCCTGGGCAGGCTGTTCCAGTGCCTGGCAAGCCCTTCCATGAAGAAATTTTTCCTAATATCCAATCAACCTCCCCTCCTGCAGCTGCTGATAAATGATGGACAGTTGGCTCAGTGAGCACTCCCAGCTCCCTCAGTCCCCTTGGGTGGATCCATCCAGACCCAGACACTGGAGTGTGTTTCACTTGCGTTCACTGGTCACTGATGGTTTTCCCTTGGATTTTGGGGACTTCCTTCTGCTCCCTGTCCCCATCCTCCAGCTCAGGGGCTGGGAACCCACAGAACAGCTGCTCTTGCTATTAATGCCTTCTTTGCCTCAGTCTTTAAGTACCTCACCATTTCCTCAGCCATTGTCACTCTGTCCCCGTGCTCCAATAAAGGTTAGCACGAGCTCTGCTTACCCATGGACTGTAACTTTATCTTATTTAAATGCCTGACTGTAATTCATTCAATCACCAGTTTAATCTTAGTGTGCAGTAAATGGGTTCTAAACCTTTCCAAAAAGGATCTGGAATGGAGACACTGTGAGACATCTGAGTGCAGCATCATCGCCTGGTGCCACATTAATGCTCTGTATTATCCTAATCCCATCGACATGTACGTCTTCACCGCTGTATCTGCTGCCTGTGTGTCTCGCACACAGGAACACGCTCATCCTCTGAAACAGAACGAAGGCAATTTTACCATTCCCTCGACAGGAGGGGGTCATGGCAGCGTATTTGACGTTTGCTGCCTTGAACACAGCACACACACACACATATGGCAACCTAATATATAGTAATTACTTACATAACATTTTCGGGAATATTGGTTTCTAGTTAATACGATCTGAATGCCAACTCTTATTTTAGTAACTGCTGTGTACTTAGTCAGTATAATCCTTCTGAAATTCCTCTCCATGTGTCTCTTTAATAACGTCTTGATATGTTGGAGCAACTGCTGTGCTACAGTTTCAGTTGAGTGAAAGATTTGTATTTTCAGCTCACTACGAAGTTTATTTGTGTGCTAAATCCCGATCAGATCTGGTTAAAGATACACCCATAACAATATTCACAAGAACTGTCCTGTTCTAAAGAAGATACCTTGCAAATCATAGCTGTTACAGGCAGGACTGAAGCAGTGTTCCCTGATTGTTGTCATTGTACAGCTGAGCAAGAGAAAATGAACTCTGTATAAGATCTTGCACTACAAAGTAATAGCAGCATGAAAACCAGACTGGTAAGGCTTAATATCATTTAACCTGTGAATCATGCAGCATATTAAATTATAGTTTGAATGCTAATTTTGAGATGGAAGGCTATGTACTGATAAGAGAGACAAGGTCACAACGCTGAAAGGACTAAAATGAGGAACATAAAACTAACTGAAAATTGCTCCCTGTGATCCAGCCTTGTCTGACAGATTTTCCCAGCTCACAGAGGATTGGCAGAGAAAGCACTGCCAAGCAATATCACTGACACATCTGTCCTCCCTCAGCTCTGCAGGTCAGTAGCTCTTTCATCGAACGCTCTTCTGAGATTCAATATCTCGTAAAACAGAGACAAAAGATTAATTCTGTTATCGACCTTATCTCTTCTACTCTGCCCTCTGCTTTAGGACTTGTGTCACAAGAAGTTGAGATTCTGCAGGACAGCACAGACCACAGTGTTTTTGCAGGAGATGGGCTGGCACGGTGCTGAGGTGGATGGTGCCCAACAACCCCCTCTGCAGCCTCTCCCTCTGCAGGGGCACTGCAACACTTGCACTGCCTCAGCTGGTAACACTGGGAATGCTGCTCCTGGAGCAGCTCTTCCCCTCAGCTACAGTGGTTTCACCAGTGAAACCTGCAGATGGACATTTTCTGGAGCCCCTGAAGGCTGTAAATTTGGACACTGAGCTCAGCATAGGGTGGATTTACTCAGCCCACAGTCCCAAGCAAACAGTTCAATCAGCACAATAACAAAGAGGGAGAGTTTGCACATAAAACTGATGTGCCCAAAATCTCACATGTAATTTAAGGCACTCATACCTTACTCATCATAGGTGAGACTCAGTAATGGAGAAAGTGCAGAGGAGTAAAAATTGTTTAAGTGAATCAGATGGGAAGACAATAAAGAGCTTTCAGAATTAATTGATCAATAAAGTGTTTGATACTGATTTCCAATAGCAGTGCTTCCTGCAGAAGCAACAAACTCGATGAGGATTTAGACAAAAGCATTTGGTATATTTATTGGATTTTAAGTCTAATGCATTCTGAGAATCGCTATTGTCTCCTAAGCCCCGTTTTGTTGGCCAAAATTACACATTAGTATTAAAAGGAAAAAAAAAGTCCTCTCCCCACAAAAGCACATCTTTCTGCACTTGGCACATGAGGCTCAAATAACTCAATAAAGATTAGATGTACTTCACACTGAAGCACAGCAGTGCC